AGATTTCCTAGACTTTTCCTTCTTTTTTCTTCTTTCTTTCTTTCTTCCTTTTTCTCTCTTTCTTTCCCTTACAAAGCCGTTTCTCTTCTCTCTTGGAAGCTACGGTTTTTGTCTTAAAAAAATGGCAAAGTTCATGTCTTTCTCCTATTTTTATATCACACTTTTAAACCATTTATTTCTCGAGCATTCCAAGTGTCAACAATTTGTGATAAACTAAGGTCAAATGATGGGATTAAATGGGGGGCAAATTGGTGTTTTGGACTTTCCAAAAAGGAGTGGGATAGTACAATTAAAAGTATGATGGGGGATTTTATGTCACATCACTAACTATAGATAGAAACTAAAAGGTAACTAAACTAACTAAACTAACCAATTTTCTTACCTCATTTGGTTCCTAAAAATTTGGACATGCACCTTGTTTGAGCCATTCTTTTACTTGCATGGTCATTTTAATTATAACATTAAGAAAAAAAAATCATTGCTAGTTAAATTTTCAAAAAGGTGATTCCTATAAACACATCCATAAACATTAAATATTTTAACACCACAATTATAAAATAAATGACACATAAATTATACCCACATAATTATGGATAATCCAGGAGATATTCTTCCCGGGAATTAAAATTTTGGCATGTCGAAATGATATATATATATATATATTCATAACTCCTCATATAAACACAAAGCATGTTACTATCTTCAAAAATTTTAAATGGCAAGTAAATCACTCCTAATATTTCATATATACCGATATAATATATATGTATAGGCTGTATAACTACGGAGTTTCATGAGGGTTACACACTCTCTCTCCCTCTCTCTCTCATTGGAATTTATATATGCAACAATGCCATTTTCATTGAAAATCATAAAAATAATCAACTCGTATAAATTATAATAATATATTTTAAAAAATAAAACAATTATGTTCTAAACTTTTATATCAAAAGCCATTTCTAAAAAAATAAAATTTCTTAATAAATAAAATCATATAAAATTTAAAAATTAATTCGATGAGGATTTTAATAAGAAACAAACAATTAAAAAAATAAATTTTAAATAATAAAAATAATATAATCGGACATATATGTTTAAACTAAAATTTTAAAAAATATCATATATATTCTATGACTTGTCAAAATATAAATAAAAAAAATGATCTTTATATATATATATTCACACCTAATTTCATGATAAAAAATAAATTATTTATATAGAAGGGGAACAATTGCCATATGAGAACATATTGAAACCGAAAACAAAAAAAAAAATGCTACGGTGAAGTTCCAACGACCTCGTTCTTAAAAAAAAATAATAATAAATAAAAGGAGGCCGGACGTTAAGAAAAAAAAAGTGTACTACTACGGTGCTACAATGAAAAAAAGATCTAGTAGCCCGACCCTTTTAAAAAAAGAAAAGAAAAAGAGGTTAGTCATATAAAGAAAAACAAAAGCTTGCTTAAAAACTAGAGTCCATCAAATTGGAAATTGTAATATGATTTGTAGGGGTGGGTTTAGTTACACAAGCACAATAAGTTGGGACTAGTTTGGGATTTCGGTTACATTTTTTTCATTTTTTTTAATAATATTTAATTATTTTAATTTATTTACATTTTTTAAAAAGTAATTTTATACTTTTTTTTTTGTCATTACGTGTCATCATATGATTGATAAGACTAACGGAATTTGATCAATTTGACTAAAAATATAACAAAATTAGGCGAAAGAGTTGATTTATTCTAACCTTCAGTTTTACATGATTTAATTTATACTATATTTGAATAAAAAATTCAAATAAACATTATTAAATAATACAACAACACAAAGTGAATTTGTATCTAAATTTTATGATTTGTTGTAGGAGAAATCAATCCTTTCCAATGTCTTACTACCTAATCCTTGGATTATAAATTAGAAAATACTAGTTTTTTTATCGGCATTACGGCGAGGGTTGGATAAAATATATAAAATTATTTAAAAAAATCATTTCAGTTTGATAGTTTATTTTACGATGTGAATCTATAAAAATATAAGAAATCAAAAGTAAAAAAAAAAAATCACTTATAATTTTTTAATAAAAAAAATTGTATTTAACTATCATGTTCTAAAAATTTATTTCAAAATCTATATATATAGAAAAATAAATCAAAAATATCAATATATATAATTTTAAATTAATTGGATGAGAATTTAAAAAAAAATGACAAATTAAAGAAGTAAATTTTAAATAATAAAAATAATTAACAAAAAAAAAACTAAAACAAAATGACATCAAATCACAATACAACTAAAATTAAAAATTAAAAAAAAATTATAGAAAAATTGATGAGCATATAATTTTAAATTAATTGGATGAGAATTTAAAAAAAATAATAAATTAAAATAGTAAATTTTAAATAATAAAAATAATTAACACAAAACACAAAAGCAAAATGGGACCAAATAACGAGTATAATTCAAGTTTGAAATTGAAAAAAAAAGAATTAAAAAAAATGATAAATTAAAGTAGTAAATCTTAAATAATAAAAATGATTAACAAAAAACACTAAAATAAAATATAACCAAATCATAATACAATTAAAGTTTGAAATTGAAAAAAAAATATAAAAAATTTGAGGACCAAAGTGTTACAAAAATGTTATAAATAGTGAAAGGAATAACGATTTGTGAGTGTGTGAATAATGATTTATGAATGTATGAATAATATTTTAAATAATAAATAAATAGTAAAAATAATGATTTTACTTTAGTTTTTAGTATAATTTTATATTATTTGGTATTGTAGATTGAAAAATTCCTTTATTTCCTGTGCATATTTTTTAAGATAATGTGATCCCTAGCTTTGACCGGGTAAAGATTCCATGTAAAAGCTGCACAGCTAAGCTGGGGACCGCCACCATCTGAAACTCCACGTTTCAAAACGATGTGGGTGGAAGGTAGGGGACGACCATTTTGGAGAGACAGAGGAATAATAATGGGTGGGAGTACGTGTGGAGTAAAGGCAGTGAGAGAAGAGGAGACAGTACTGTAAGCTCGTGTGTTTGGTATTTGACAGCTGTCAGTCACATGGTGGTCCCTGATTAATTAATCTCTGCTCTCTGGAAAAATCCACACGTGGGAAACTGCATAGTCCCCCTGAAAGAGGTGAGCCCAAGGCAGTCCGATTTTTCTATCTGTTGCTGCTGCTGCTATTCTGTTTTCAACTTGCCAACTTTCGGCGCCCCAAAGTATGTCAACGGTATTGTTTGCACCGTTTCATATATGTGTCCTTCACGCACACATATAAGTAAAAAGGTTTTTATATTACTTCTGTAGGGATTAAAATTTACGATATATTCATAAATGAGACTTAAATATAAATATATATTTTTTAATAAACCAACTTCTTAGTGCTTAAACATTTAGTTATTTTAATTTCCATCTTTGTAATTTAAAAGACATTCCAATGTGATACATTTTCATTATATTGCCACAAAATCCAACAGTGGAGCCAATTTTAGAATTATTTTTTCATTCTATAAAAAGTTTGGAAGAAAAAAAAAGAGAAATTCGAAAAACTGAAAGGAAAAGGAGAGAGAAATGGACTCTTCTTTATGTTTCAACAGCTGTTTAATTCCTTGAGATTAATTATTTATATTAGAAATTTTATGATATTTTCACATTTTAAACTAAATTTATAATAACTTAAAATGTTTTTTTTTCCCTTTTTAATATAGAAGGTGAATACTGTCACAGCCATGCTATATTTATTTGAAAAGTGTAAAAAATTAGCAAGATAATTGACATGTGTTAAGCATATTAATTGTGAAGTCTTTGACAAGGAAAATTTTGGTTTATATATTTTTTAACTAGCACTAGTCGTCGATTCTGGTCGATCACACTTACTATGAAAAAATCTACGTACAAATTTATTAGTTAAATTTAAATTTTAACGTCATTGAAGGACTCATTTCTTTAATATTTCAGCATATGGTATTTGATTTTCATATTTTTTTAGGATGTAGTGTGTGTTATTTTGCCATACTTTTATTGCTTGTAATTCAGTTATTTTAGGACATATTTTCCACCAAAAGGAAAAACAAAAAAACAATTGTAAATCACCATTGCAAGAAATTGCAAGTAAAACCAATTTGTATCCCTTGATTAATTTTGGGATTATATATCTATATAATCCAAGTATTAGCTAGAGAGAAAAGATATGTCTAAACAAACTAAGCAAATTTTGTCATCTATAGCAATTGATGACCTAATTAAGGGGAGTAGAGAACTATTGAATGTACCGACCAGGGAGCAAATCGATCTTAATTAAATTTTGTACTTTGTCTTCTCAAGTTAATTAACTTTTGTTTACAAAGGGACATATGCTAAATGGCATGCATGGGACATAAAAATAGCTTTCTGTTGTACTTTCGCATTTGCCATATTCCTTAATTTCTCTTTGATTTTCTTCCGGCTAACTTGCAAATTTCCTCTTTGTTAATATATACATATTATGCTTCGACTTCTCCATTAACCCTCCTACAACTGAAAATAAATAATACCCTAGCTTAGATAGCGAGTCAAGCTTGTTTTCTTAGAGACTACGAATGCAACAATGAATTGGGCTAATGTTCTCGTGACTCAGAAAAAAATTTCTCGTTATAGATATATATATATATATATATATATATATATCCTTCAGCCATTCCTTAACATGTCGATTACTTATGTTACATCCCAAGTATTCCAATTGGTGTGCTCATGCCGTAAACCAAGTTTCTTCTTGTGAGGATGATTCAATGCTGTGTGTTAATTAATTTGATGTTGTTTATATGTAGATCATATTCCATTGGTAATAAACAACAACCAATCTTTATAATGAACAATTCTGCTTGCTTTAATGCAACCTCATCATGCACACATATATGTACGTACTTGTTCTATTTTTACACAAAAAAACACTTTTTAATCCTGTAAAACATTACAATAAAGCAAGCAAGCACTTGTTCAATCTGCTATTTAATTATGAATCAAAACATCTCCAAGACGCCTCAAGATCTGTTCTATTGGAGGCCTAGCTTCAGGCACCTTGGCTGCACATTCGAATGCAATATCCAAGACCAGCAAAGCTTGTTCCCTCTCTTTGCCCTCCACAAAAAATTCAAAAAAGTCGATGGGATCTTTCTTTATCTCTTCTTTCCTTTCCATTATGCCATTTTTAATACCTCTACCTCTTGGCGCTCCTAGCATTTCCAACAACACCATCCCAAAATTGAAAATATCACCTTTTTGACTCAATTTGTTGGTGTTAGGATTTTCTGGCGAAGGGGGCGGCTTTCGCTGCCAAGAACCGGAAACTTCCTCCAATTCCTCAGCCAGTTGAGTGAGGCCGTAATTGGATAAGTGGGCTGTGAAGTTAATAGTTATCATGACATTGGAGGATTTGATGTTGCCATGCACATTCATCAACATGTTCTTTTCATATGGAGGGTATTGTGTGTGGATAAATGCGATTGCCTGTGCAATGTCAAGAGCTATTCTTAGTCTTTGATTCCAATCCAAGGCAGTGTGACCGCATTCTCTTCCACCTCAATTCATCAACAAATAGTACATAAAAAAAGATTCAGTTCACAGGTATTTCTCGATTCAATTAGCATATGGAAGATTATTCTAAATCAACCAATCAGATTGAAAGATATATTTGTTTGTCCAATATATTTGATGCAATTCCCCTCCCTTTTTTTTTCAGCCAAGTCCAATGTTTTCAGAATGAATTTTTATCCTAAGAAAATAATAAATTTGTGCCCTAGCCCGAGTCCTTTGAAATTTGAATGGAAGAAATTGTCTCTTTGGAATAAACATTAATTTTATATACAAAATTCGAGTGGTATGCATGCATATCAACTAATATGGCAAGTATTGTAAAGATGACTGTAACTTGTTGTCTGAGTGGGGACGATATCCTTTTGCATTAAATCAAATGTTGTCTCTATTGGTAAGATTTTCCTTCATGTTTTTTTTGAAGTCTTATTAATTACCGTATTTCATAATGTTCTGTTGACGTTGTTTTGAAAAATCGAAAATTCACATTTCTAACAAAAGAAAATGAAAATTCCCATAAAATTTACTACTACCATATTCTATCTTTGCTTATATAATCACCTTGAAATGGATTTAGGCATAAGAAGTTATAACGAGCAATGAAACATCAATTTCAAAAGAAAAATGAATCAGTTTATATATAAGTAGCTAGTGTTTTAAAGCTGTTCGTAAACTCACCAGCAAGCAAGTCAGCCAGGCTTCCCATGGGAAAATAATCACAGACAACAAACTTGATCCTCTTTGTATATAGGTAAGCAGTGACAGGGACAAGATACTCACACCTCTTGCTCACCTGAGCTAACCTCTCAATCCGCTTGCCAAACTCACGCCTCCTAACTCTTAATGCCCTAAACCTCTTCAGAGCATAAACTTTGCCTCCTAACAAAACCACTTTTTCTGTCATCCCCAAAGGGCTCTCTCCCATAACACCAACAGAAGCCCTTAAGATCTCCCTTAGGCTCAAGCGGGACACACTTTCTCCACAAAAAAACAAAGGCAGATCATCCATGAAACCAACTACGAAATCTTCAGATTCAAGGAGTGACGTCCCTGACTTGCCATCATCATCTCCATGTTTAGGGCTCCTTTTGGGTTTGGTGAAGGCTCTTGATAGCATTCTTTTGAGGCTTCGAGAGGTTTGTGAAGACAGTGAATGGTTTTGGGATTATGGGTAGTGTTCTTTGGTTTAGGTGGGTTGCTCTTTCGATTAGTTTGACAATATTGGTTGTTTTTATAGAAAATATCGAATATAGGTGCTGGCACTTTGTTTTCTTTTGGTATCCCATTGGGTCTCCGTTAAAGTCCAAAAATTGAATCTCCATGAAAATTCTTCGAAGAATTTGATAGGTTAAACCAGCTTTGGGGAGAACATTATATAATGTTGTCACTAATATTTTGATGGGCTATCATATCTTTGGGAACATCGATCTTAATTGTTTCATACAACTTGTATCCAGTGCAGCTAGATTCATTTATTCTTCGTCTATAATCCATCTTGGTGTGGCAATTAAAATAAAAACTGCATGACCGTCCACCGGTGCCATTATGAGAGTGAGTGCAAGGGCCAAGAGCGGCTAGGTCTAAAGAACTTGAGGAGAACCAGGCGATCGACTGGATGTTGGTGAAAGACGTGAGATATGAATGAACCACGGGCATAACGAGACTTGCTAAACGCCCAGTAATTGGGCTTTCCAAAACTTTTGTTGAAGGCCCAAGCCTGGTCGTATACCTTTTTCAATTGCAAAATGAACCCGCCATGCATGTCCAACTTTCATTTTGTTTTATTGTTTGGCCCAGTTAGTATATTAGTATTTCCGGTCCAATTAAATTTTAGGAAACTGGGTCGAGTTAAACTGGGAATTTAGCACAACCAGGCAGATATCTGTTTCGAATCCCTCCAAAAAATTTAAATATTTCTGTTCCCGACCTATAACTGTCCTTGACCTGACAAGCTAAATGATATTAGTAGTATATTTTTTTTTTCAAAAATTAATTGAATTTTAGAAGTATTGCAGTTTGTGAAAGAAAATATTAAAATATAACTTCTTTTTTTTAAAAAAAAAACAAAAACAAAATTTCAGCTCGATTACAAACCGGAGTGAACTGGAATTCGACCAAATTATAATATGTGAGGCCCAGTTCAAAACAGGTATAAAAACAGATGGGTTAAATCAGCAGTGGATCCATTGCCATCCATGTTCCGTACTTCTTCTTTTGAGTAAGAAAGGCCCAATTTCATTCATCATTGGAAAAGATATTTTTGGAGGATAAGGGTATGTGTTATTAGGGGTGAGCAAACGGTTCGATTAATCGAAAATCAAATAAAACCGAATCGAATTATGAAATTTGGTTCAATTTTAAATATAAAATTATACAATATAAAACCGAAAAAAAAAACCGAAATTATTTCGGTTCGATTCGATTTTTAGAAAAAAAATTTCGTTTCGATCGAAAACCGAAATAAATAATAAAAAATTTTCTAATTTCTAAATCCCTAACTTTTCAATCTTCATTCTTGTTGAAACCGAAACACGCAGATGAGAAGTAAATTTTGAGGACCGTTGCGGTAAGAAAAGAAAATGACAGAGTATAATTAATTGGGATACGAGTGTTTTTTAATGAGTAAATTTATTACACTTGGATTCGTTTTCATTAAAGCTTGGTTAAAATCTTCAAGGGCTTTGTGATTGTTTATAAAAAGGATTAATTGATAACAAGATGTTACTTCATTGGCTAGTGGACTAAGTGCTAGTACAAAACATCTCTCTATAATGATTTTTTTTTTACGGTAAAATATTTTGGTTAAAACCTAAATATTTTGAAATCAAACCGAAATAATTTGATTACAAACCTAATTTATCGAATTTATTTCGATTCGATTTTGATTTTGATTTTTTTAATTCGATTAATAAAAAATCAAATCAAATTGTACAAAATCGAATCATTTAACCGAATGCTCATCCCTATGTGTTATGGCTATGAACATGGTAATTCCACGGAAGGTATTTTCCACCTTCGCACGCCCACCGATCATGCCAGACAGATGGACTTGTTGAAAATGAACCAACTTAACGCGTTCCCTTTTGATCCTCAAATCTCAGAATGGGGCTGACGTCAGTTTGCGCTGCGCGCTCACATCTACGTCTTTGAATTTACACTATAGTCCCCACTGGTCACCTCTTTTACGAAATTTGCTTTGGATTTGGATAAACCTCTTCTCTCCACTCTTTATTCCTCGGATACATGGACGAGGCACAAATTGATCTCAAAGTTGAAACACGAATAACCATTTTAACCATTGTGTCTTTGGACTGCATACGGTCATTTGCTATTACATAATTGTAGTTTCATTATTTTTAATGATGTTTTTGTTTTTCAATTGAGATAAGATTTGATTCTGGTTTGTTATGATATTACCAATCATTAAATATTTTATTTATTATATTGAAAATACTTTACTTGATTGATTCAAAAAGTATATTGTTATTTAAAAAAAATTATCACCCTATTGTTTTCATAACAAATAGGTAATTACGAATTATTAAATAGATTCATTAAATGAATTATGAAAAATTATCTTATCTTTTCATAACTTATTTAACTACTTCATAATTAAAATAATTATGAAAAATTAAATAGAATTTCAATTAAAAAAAATTCTTATTATCTAAGAGAAAAAAATAAAAAACTATTTAAATTATAAAAATAACCATTTATAAGCAATTAGGAGCTAATATATATTTAAACTTATTGCATTTTAAATACCATCTTATTATTTCATAAACTTCGAAACATTATAATTACAATGTCTTGAAGTAAACATAACAAACTCCAGATTAAGGTAAGTAAATACAGACAGACTCGTCCATTTCATCATTCCTTCATTAAATACAGACAGACTCGTCCATTTCATCATCATTACATTTGTGACTATGGATATCTTCTCTATTAACTAAACAGGGAAAACAAGATTGCACCAAATTAAATTTGTTAACTACATTCCTTGTACTCCTCGAAAACCAAACAGGAATGGTTAAATTTGCTTCTCACACTCCATGGCACAAATGTAATTGACCACAAGAAAAGACCCACATTAGCGTACACAGACGATCACCATAGTCAAAACACAACAAATTTCTTTCGCGCAAGTCTGTCTTAATTGTTGACTCTAATAATTTAAAAAATAAAATAATAAGAATGATGATAATAATAAAAATGATGATGATAATGATATCACACCTCTTTCCTAACATAATCACACACCATTGAAGAATTAAACCACCAATTAAACAAAACACACATACCCGGTTAAAACGCTAGCCCTTTCTTTTCACCAATCACGTGCTTCGCATCCCGCCCTGCCCGCTGCCCATTTCTTTTTCCTCCTTCTCACTGCCCGATCTGTCCTACTGACCTGCTTTCTCTGTGGCTGTCTCTATATAAACATCCACGCATTGACCAGAACCTTAATAACCTTTTAATCTCCAGATGGCCGTCAAGTTCACCGTCACCGTCGCTGTTCTCTTCTTTCTGTGCACCGTTGCTTTTTCTCGCACCCCTTTAGGTCTACCGTATGATGATGTCGCTCTATCCGAAATAACAAAATCTGACCCGAAAGCCACACCTGCTCTCCTACTCCCTAGCCAGAATCCCGAATCTGAGTCTAAACCGGAAACTGAACCCATAACCGTAGTAACGTATCCAGTTAATGAAGAAATCGCGGATAAAACGGAACAAGAAGGATCAACAACGGAGGTGAAAACGGAATCGGTTGAGACGGTGGTGCCGTTAACAGTTGTGACTTTCCGTCCAATTAACCCTCAGTTCTTCCCTCGACGTCCGCTACTCCCGTTACGTCCTCGTCACCGATGCCGTCACTGGCACAAGATCATGAAGCCACGTTTCTACGGCAACGACATGATCGTATCTGGTGAGAAGAATCATGGTTTTGGAGTTGGTGATGAGGCGACACGTGGCGCTGTAAGGCAGATTCCTGTCAAGAGGGCCAGGTTTCACCATGGGGGTCCAAGGTTTTCTTTCTTTGATGAATTGGCAAACGGAGAGGAGAGGGAGTGGGGCCACAAGAAGCATCATAAGAACCGCCGCGTGGAAGGAGAAGAGAAGGAGAAAGAAGAGAAGCATGAGCATAAACATGAGCATAAGTGGGGTCTGTTGAGGAGGATTCGCAAGTTTTTGAAGCATAATTTTTGAGGAAATGCGTAGCTATTAGTAGTACTGCTATTATTATTATTATTAGTGTTATTATAAATATTATGGGGTTTTTAACATTCTAATCAAGAATATATACGTTTTTATGTCGGGGTTTGGGTTTTAATATATATATGTAAATAAGGCTGCATCCTTTGAGAGATGTATGAAGAATATATATGTTTTGTTTAGTAGAATCGAAATGTTGCTGCTTCATGGCATGTCTAGCCTATATTATGAAATAGAAGATTGTTATTTGCTATGTTTTATGTTTTTGTCAGAGTCAATTAGATTCTACCTTCAAGCAAGGTTTGTGGGGTATATCTCCTACTAGTTGGAGTTGGGTAGCCTTCCTAAAAATCCAACTGGAAAATAAAAGCAAGACGTTTCATTTTTATTTTTTTCATTATTATTTTAATAATAAAACAACGGCCATAGCGCAAATGTTGAGAAAAATAGGCTTGTTCTGATAAAATGTGTGTCGAGAATTGTGGGTGCATCATTACTAGATTTCAGAATTTTATGAGTTTCAAGTGAGTCGCATCCGACGGAACTAACAGATACTGTGAAATTTGATTGAAGATTTATGTATAGCATGACGAGAATCTTTTAGCCATAATAAGGGCGGAGATAAAGCAGAAGTATATTGTTAAGACGAGGGAATGGTTTTTTCAAGGAAAAAATATGGAACCAATTGCTAAGATGTTGATAGATTTAAAGGCATTTTGGATAATTAACTAAGAACTTGTGAGTTTTATTACATTACATTACATTAAAACAAACGAAAGAAAGAATTACACGAGCATCTCAAAAGTGATCAGAACAGGCACCAGTTTGATGAGTGCTGGTCAGTTCCGAGCATGGCCATGGGCTTACCTGGACGGCAGCTCCGCTTACATCTGAACATGTCCATGGAGAGGATCGGGGTCCTGGTACACCATGAAGGTTGATGTTAGAGAGACAAATCCCGGTGAAAGGGGAGTTCTTCAAGCCTTGTATTGAACCCGGCTGCTGAACCTTCTCACCCCATATGCTTCTAAGGGTGATGCCATGAACAGTTGGTAGAGCATTTGGGTCGAAACTTTCATCTGGGTGGTCACCAACATCACCAGCAATCTTTATACCCTTGCGAGCATTTTCCATGTACACATCAGTAACTGTGATGTTCTTGATGAATCCTCCCCTTCCAATATTTGTTTTGATATGTATGCCAACTCCCATATTGTAGAGGTTTATGTTTTCAGCGTGGACATTCTTCACTCCACCAGAGGTTTCACTTCCTACTGCTATTCCAGCAAACGGCGATGATCCTGTTATCCTCCGGATAGTGATGCCAGAGCTTGGACGATCATAAGCAATTCCATATTTGTCCCATCCACTTTTTACAGCTATAAGATCATCTCCGGTGGAAATGAATGAATCTTCTATGCAGACATTAGAGCTTGAATCTGCATGGGATCGTTGATGAATTGTAAGAATGAAGTTAAAATTGGTGGGGAGAATGTTTCACGCTACAAAATGGGAAGATGTGTACAAATATCATATGGTCCAGATGATGATCAAGAAATGTGGATGTCATCAACTGATTAGGACTTGTAACATCCAATCCAGGAACTGCGCAAGGGTTGGGGATAGTAAGCTTAAGAAAGGTGAACTCCATTCTATTCCTTGTGTTCGTTTTCCCTCCAGAATTCCTTATGTTCTATATTTTTCTCTCCCAAGCAAAGCACATTCATAAAAAAGGGCTACCATAATTAATTTGTCTAACTTGTAGCTAAATACTTGAAACAGTTACATAATGCATAAGCAGATATTTTCCTATTTTCTCTAGGCAAAAGTCCCTATTCGTGTGCATAAATCATTGACCAACAGAGTGACAAATTGCATAATAAAAATTACGCGCATTGTGTATGTACCTGGATCAATTCCATCAGTATTGGGGGAGTCAGGTGGAGCCAAGATGGTAACAAATCGAATAACAACATTACTGCAAAGAAGAAACAGATATCAGATAAACTGTCACCCCAAAAAACTTAAATCAGCTGCATCAGCTTATCTGCAATCAGTACTAAAAATATCTGTTAGGACAGAAATAGAGTTTTTTTTTTTTTTTTTTCTTTTTTGGTTGGGGGTGGGGAGTTGGTTGAGCAGCCATGTTTCTATTCAAGTCATCGTTCAAATTTATTGAAAAAATGACATGTGTGAGTGTTCCCACCAATTACTTCTCTACAGCCACATCTGCTTCAGAGACAATAGAGATGAAATACAGACTTAAAGCCGAAAATCAATAGATTTGCATCAAATACAGACATAAGGCCAAAAGCCAATAGATTTGCATTAAATACATAGCACTTCAGCTATTGAAGATGATTAGTAGGATCATCTAGAGACCTGTATAAAAGTAAAAGTGAAATTCCAGGATGATTGTGGAACCAGAATGTCAAGCGCATCAGTATAGACAATTGTATTTGTCTTTGAACTTTAACATATCATGCATCATTAATGGTATAAGGTTTACAACAGAGTAAAGAGTCTAAGCTGATGCCAATCTACCAAGAGGGCATTACCAGCATAGTCAGCTTCCTCAACATTTGAGACCCGGAGCTATAAATACAAAAACCAATCTTTGACTGTTACCTGGAATAAACAGGGTGAATGGTCCAAAAGGGAGAATCGCGGAAAATCACATTGGAAATGATTATGCCTTTTGAATTTACGAATTCAACGAGATTAGGTCTTGTAAAAAGAAGAGTTCTCTGCCTCCACATGTTCCACCAGACATCTCCTTGGCCATCAATTGTCCCATTCTCACCTATGAAACAACAACTTTTTGAGCCTTCACACAGATAATAAGAAAGAAACTATCTCAGGTATGAAGACAGGCAAATCTAAGTTAGCCCTATGTCGTCATGTATTATTCTAATCCCAAAACCAAGCATTTGAGAGATGGAGTTGGATTGGATTTGAGGTCTTCGCTCCAACTATATATGTAGAAGTTTAGAATTGTAAAGTATAGAAGAGGGCATCAACTAAAAAACTGGAAGCTCATACACCAACCAAATCCTTCGAACTGTAATTCATCTTCACCTTAAGCATTTCAACTTCAAACTTGAACAAGATTAGTCTATCAATGAATCTGAACAACACTAAAAGACCTAGATCATTTAAACCTCACTTAACCAATTTAAACTAAAAAATTGAATCCCAATATCTCACTGAAAATCCACAAAATCCAAACACGCAATCTAAATGAGTTAAGATGCTTATGCTACACAGGAGACATCAACTAGATGCTATCGTTTAACCAACCTGTGATGATGACATCTTGAAGTCCATCTCCATGAATAAAGCTCATATATCTTCCTCCAGGGCGTTCCCTCCCTCTTCCATAAGATGGCAGAGGAGCAATTAAAGGCCAGTTAAAAGTGTCCTGAAGCAACAGGCAAAGAAAAGGGAAAAAAGAAGAAAAAAGCATGCAAGGTTAACGAATATAAAATGAATGTAGCAGCATAAAACTTTTAAGTTATCATATCTAATACTATTCACTTCTTCCTAAAATATAATACTGAGAGGGTAAAAGTTAAATAAAAAATATTTTAGTAACATATCCACATCTAAACAAAAACAATGAGATACCTCATATATTCAATTAAACTCAACCAAAATATCCCAAATCCCACAGGCACAAGCTATCGAATATGATATTCCTTTTTCTGTCCTTTTTCCATCAAAACCATTATGGGCACAACAAAAGAAAAGGACCAGCTGCAGTAAAATTTTCTCCCATCAGTTCATGAGGAATGGATTCAAGTCCTGTGGTTTATTATAACATTCTAGTATAAAAATTAAGTTTGATTTACATGATTAGATCCAGTTCACCAACAAAAGCACTATAAACGCCATTACTAAATATTTGGGATCAGCCAACACGGAGCCACATGTGGGCACGTAGAATAGGTTGTAAAACCTCGTCTGATAACAAATTACTATGTCAAGTCAGTTTCAATAAGAAAAGGGCATGGACCATCGACCCTATCTTCCATGAGTGCGTTACCTCCTTGTAGCAAAGTGGTAGCATTGCTATTAACAGGAAGCAAAGGTATGGAACATCAACAGTTATAGCTGGCAGCTATAGCCTATAGCTATTAACAACCTTCAAACATTTATTTTTTCTTTCTAATCTTTAATTTTTTTTTAAAAAAAAAACTTTATATTGTTCACTATAAATTAGTGGACATCAGCTAGGATAAGTTGTGACATATATTTATTAAGATGAGACCACGAGGATGACTACGTTTAATACAAACAGGGTCACCATCATTTTTAACAATTAATTCCATCCACAACCACTCTATGGTCATGAAGCCAACAATATCTAAGCAGAAAATACCCAAGACATGACTTGCCAGCTATTTGGCTGCCCCTCCGATTCCATATATCTTAGTTGTTTAACACCTATCAAGGCAATGCACATGCAACCATATAGTCCACTAGACCCACCATTTTCTTTTCTCTATCCACATCTGCACCCGCAACAGCTCATGTTAGCAGACCCTTTTCTTAGCTCTTCATAATCTAATCGCTCAATCACAGGTAACCCCACCCAAAAACGAAAAAAAAAAAAAAACAAAAAAGCCACCAGTAATCGACAGTTCAATCATACACTGATTTGCCCTAGGGAAATGATTGTGGCACTAATGACCACGATACAAATTCGTGCCTACCCTTTGATCCGGTGGGTCCCATTTGATCGACGGTGGCCATGAATTCAAGTTACAATCAGGGCATGAACGATTCTTAGTCCCATATCTAATAAACCAGTACTAATTAGCAATTACAGTACCTTTAGGAGCCACTCGCTACTACTCGAGCACTCACTATATGTTAGCGAAATTCACATATTGTCGGTGGTCGCGCCATAGCAAAAGACACATGAACCTGATCCATGTGGACTTAACAAATGGCATTAAACGATAAATTAACCAATTATATCAGTAGGGCCTACTACACTAATCAAACAAAACTGAAAATAATAATCTTAATGGAAAAAACGCGACATCTACTAGCAAATATCAATTGCATGAAAGACATGTCTCTTAAAGCTAACTATGCTTGATTAGCAACAATTATGAGAAACAAGTAACAACCAATTAAAGAAAGCTTAAATGTGATCTAATCAAAGGATAATTAATTAATTAATTACCTGGGTTGCTTTAATAACAGCACCTCTAGCCAAATAGAGAGTCATGTGGCTAGTAAGATTAAAGCTCTCTGTTAAATACACACCAGGAGGTATATAAAGCAAGGTGCCACCTGTTCTTCTCAAATGCTGGATCCTGTATATTGCCTCTCTAAATGCCTTTGTATTCAGTGTCTTCCCGTCACCGACACCGCCAAAATCCGTTATGGATATCTTGTCATTCCTGGACCTCATTGGCACTATTCCCGAGCAGGTTATCACTTCTCCAACTGTAAAACAACTTAAAAAAGATACCGAAATGGTAAAACAGAAAAGCAAAGAAAGCAAGAGCCGTGGCATTTTCGTGAATTTAGTGAAAACGTCAGGGGAGAGAGAAGGTAGAAAGGGAAACATTCATCAAAAAAAGTTACAAAGAGAAAGATACAAAGATGGGGTTTTAAAGATTTTTGTTTACTGGGTTTGGTTGACAGATCTGGAAATGAAACAAAGAGAAAGGAACAGAGAAGGAATGTTGATGGTGATTATAAAGTAAAGAATTTGGTGAAGGTAAGGGGAGGTGTTATTTTAATGGGGTTTTGAAGGAGGGAAAGGAAGCATGAAAGAAGGGATTTGTCAAAGAGTGGTTGTCTTCTTCTTCAGCACGAAATTGGGAGTGGGAGAGAGAGGAGTTGCGGGTGATCAGTGTGGAGACTGAGCATGTGGGTTAATAAAGGAGGCGTCTCCAGACAGGGGGAACCGTCTAGGAAGAGACAGGATATTTTTACTAGTTTATTTACCGTTATTTATGGCATTTTTTGAACATTGTTCTGTATTTTTCTTTTTTTGGTCTATTACCTGTTTAGCGGTGAACTAGCCTGTTCCTCGCGCCAGTCGAGCAATTTTTTTTTTTCGATAGTCTATGACATTATAATGTAGGTGAACTAAAATATATGAAATTAAAAATAAGGAGAAAAAAATTGAGATGATTTATCCCTCCAAACCCTAAAAATGGCCTATATAAAGATCATTTTCCTTCATTTTTAGGGTAGCCTTCACAACTATTATCCTACCCCAAAAAAACTCTAGCCTCCCATCTCCACACACACCAAAAAAAAAAAAAACAAAAACAAAAAACAACTAAGCTTCCATTGTCTTCACCATCTTCCTAAAAGAAAAAATTAGGAGTGCATGGATCTAAAGAGAACAAGAAAAAAAATTAAAAAGAAAAAAAAAGAACAAGAGGCTACTAAACGACCTCTAAAGAGGGCTATTAACCCCGGATCACTTGTGGGTCAACTCCGCATACTTGTCGACGCTCCTCCCTCAAATCGATCTCTTTTTGCTCGAAATTACTTCGACCCACCACCATAAATCAATAGACCACCACTCAATCTACCATTCTCGACTAGTTGAGGAAGAAGAAAACGTCAAATGAGAGATAAATCAAGGAGAGAAGGTTGACGACTCGATCCGTTTGTGTACTCGTGATTATCATTGTTTTTTGCCCAAACCAATAACCCGCACCACCACGAAGTGTTTCTCATCCTCCAAGGAGTGGTTCCCCCTCAAAATCATAACAAGCATCGTCGGACTTGGCCAAATCAAAGGCGAAGGTAACCGGCCAACCTATTTACCCATTTCCACGAAACCTTGGCATATCTAATCCATTTGACCAAATCGAACCTCCTAACCACCACAGAAAACTCCCCTTAATCTCATGAGTCAATTTGTTTCCTCAAAATTCCTAACATTACTAGAATCGTTATTAGAAAGAGGATAAGATCCGGTCAAAACTTTAAAACTTTGGAACCTCCGATCTTCCTCCTATGACGTTGTCCGTGACTTCCACCACCATCTTTGAGTTCGTGATGATATCCTCCATCATGCAGGGTGTTTCATGCACTCGAAATGTCATTGGACGACGACCGAGCATCTCGAAGTATCAAGAAGGTTTCGAGGGCCAATTTTGTAATTTTGCTCTTTAGGGACAATTTGGTGATTTTGCCTCCATAGGCATTTTGGTCATTTCCAACAACATTCCAGGGGCATTTTGGTCACTTTTTAATGATCGTTTGGTTTGTTTCTCTTACCTATTTATTTCTAGTTACTTTATGGTGTTATTTTGTAATACATGTTAATTTTATTTGTGTTAAAAAACTTAGATTATGTATGCTTGTTTATTTAATTTAGATTTAGTATTTTGAATGTCTTGAATATTCTTAGGCAATATTTAATTTTAGTATTTATTTCAATAATTGAGTTAAGTAATTAATAGGTGGATGAATTATCAAGTCTCCTAATTTTTTGGGACGAATGACGATTCTCCACCAACAAACAAAAAAAAACGAACAAAATAAAAAAAAATGTTAAGAAAAGAATGAAAGAAAAAAAGATTATTAAGAAAAGAAAGAAAAGAAAAAAAAAGGAAAAAAAGTTAGGAAAAGAAAAAAGAAAAAAAAAAGAGAATGCTAGGAAAAAGAAAGAAAAGAAAAAAAGAAAGAAAAAAGGAAAAAAGAGTGGAAAAGGTAAAAATATAGCAAAAAAAACACTAAAAAAATATTAACAAAGTCTCTTATATAATAGAAATTGATGTTAACTCAAATCAATCACATTTTAGTAATTAGGTTATTCTTTGACATAACAATTATGTCGCGACTTTAATTGAATCGGATGTTGAACCGATGTGTCTCCCGACTATTGGTTCAATATAATGCTATAACAAAAATAAAAAACTTAGTTTGACATAAAATATAACTTAGAAAATAACTAAGAAATATTTTTCCAAAAATAAAACTTTTAGGAAATAAATTTTAGGACTAAACTATATGTGGAACCTTTCTTAGGAAAGGGTGCTTTTGGGTGATTAATATCTTTTCAAAAACGTAACCAACTTCTTATCCTATAATCTCTCCACCGGTGTCCATTTTAGGTTCCTAGTTAATTTAATACTAAGTGGTGACTTCGAAAATAATAATAACTTGTATCTCCAAACAAATAAGATTTTTAACAAATAGTAAATAAAAATTTTTGAGAGTATTGTGAAAGTCGAATAACAACAAACGATGATTCTACTTGGAAATTAGAGTTAGACGATAGATTTAGTTTTGTTTTTTTTTAAAAAAATTTCTCTCTATTTATTTTTATTATTGGTTTTCCAAGTCATTTTTTTTTATTTTTTTATATATTTTAAATGTTTTAACTTTAAGCAATTCATTTTCCTTGCATTCATGTACATATTTATTTTGTAAACTAGGTGAATATGATTGCTTTGATCCGTTGCACACACCACAAAGGAAGTCCGCAAAAACTTTGAACCCGAGCTAAAACCCTATTAGGATTTAGATAGAGAGATTCGGAGCCAAGTATGATGAAAGCCTACCGATACTCTTTTGGACTCTTGTTTGGATTAGAACTCACCTTATACATAGGAAATTATGTAATGACCTTCCCATACCTTTTCGTACATAAGGTTAGAGGTTGAATTGGATTACCTCACTAGTAATTTAGATAGTTTAGAAACTTGAAAAAACTTTAGATTAGACAAACTTTACCTAAATCTTAAAAAAAGCTAGATCCTATTCATTAGGCTTGACTCGTTAAGATATGAACTATTTTTGTGAGATTGCTATATTCTAACTCTTGTTTTTACAGGATATCATTAAAACAAATCACGATGGAGAATGCTAATGAGAATTTTAGGGCTGAATCGGATGGGCCTAATTTGAGGAGATTGGTTGTCTATCTTTAGATTTTATGCTAAAGCCGATAGAAAAAAAAATCATCACGTCAAAGACAAATTTGATATAAGGTCAACATGTTTCTTAAATCGCTCAAGTATCCGTAGGGTCGTATCCTCAATAAGTACTCAATCTAATCCGGCATGTCCTCAATAAAAACTCTATCATGATTTGAAGTGGGTAATAGCACAAGTAACATATCTAACCTATTCAAATTGATGCATGCATGCATTTTTGCTTATATTTGTATTGATTATATCTATTGTTTTGTGAGAATAAATAGATCTAAAGAAATATATGACCCATAACGAACCATCAAAGCGCAATAAGAAATGAAAAACCAAGAAAGGGCCATAACGAACCATCAAGAGAAGATCAACACAATGATGGGCAAAGTCGGTTTGAGCAAGCTTTACCTTTGAGGGAAGATACTTCAAATAAGGGAGAAGCTCAAAAAAAAAAAAAAATGTCATCATCTCGTTCCTTTATCAAATGATCAAATACCTTTAGGGTCATTACATACTAGTCGAGGGGCTTAAGACTTTATTCTAAGGGCTCGGTTTCTACAAACACCATTGGCTTTTTTCCCATGAACCCCGTAACTAAAAGAATCACAAAAACCAAGTTGGCAAAAAAATCCAACCAAGAGACATTGTTTGCTATTAAAGAATATTTGAAGGTAGTAGATGACATGGATTTATATGACCCAATGAAAACTTACGAGATGTGCCTCGTGCTAGGAGTGGTGATTCTAAAGAAGTTCAAGATACCCAAATTCACTAAGTACACTCGATACACAATGCCCTAAAATATATTTTCAAATTTATCGTAGCAAAATGCCGGAAGTTATACATGATAAGAAACTATTAGTCCATTTCTTTCATGAAAGCCTAGGTGATGCTACCTTGAGTTGGTACATGCATCTTGATAGAGTCAAGATTAAAAAATGGAAGGAGACATATTTAGTAGATTAAGACAAATTATCTAAAATAGATTTTTAACTTTTTAGATTAAAATAATTATATATTTATACATATACCACGATTATTTAAAATTTCTAAAAAATCATGATATTTATTACATCATTTTTTAAAGAGAAAAAAATCATGTTTAAAATTTTATTTTAAAATTTAAATACGAGAGAAAAATAAATTATTTATCAATATATAAAATTTTATATAAAATAAAATAATGGGATGAGAATTTTCATAAGAAATGATAAATTCAAAGAATAAAATTTAAATAATAAAAGTAATTTAATCTAAAATATATGTTAATTTTAAAAAAAATAAAAAGATATTACATGTATTCTATCCTCTCCACGTTGCGTTAAAACACAAATAATAATGTTCGATGTTTCGTAATTTTTAATTAAAACCTTAATTAAAAACATTAAAGAAAAAAAGGGTGCAATCTCGTGGTTTTAGGCTTGGAGGACCAAGCTCGAATGCTTGGGGACCTAGCCTGGATAGGTTAGGATACCAAAAAAAAAAAAAAAATTTAAAAAAAGTTCTTGCAACCTTTGCAATTTCAAACGAACTCAATTTCTCGAAAAAGTTGAGTTTCTTAATTTTTAGCCTCCTAGAACCAAAATTTACTTTATTTTTGTCCAAAATCATCTCA